CAGCACCCTTCTGCATTCACCCACAGCAGGCCCAGAGAGAGGCAAGTGGGATACATGTCTACCAGGGGGCTAATGCCCTTGAGACAGCCTTGAACCCGGAGGGTTGGAAGGGACAGGAGCTCTGGGTCAGCACTGCTGCAGCCTGCCCTTCACCCAGATGGTTTTAGCTGTGGAGGTCCCAGCAGCGGTCTTAGTTGTGCCCCTCTCAGCAGCTGTTGCCCCCTTAGTCCTGTCTTCTGGGATCTCCTCTCAATGAAGCCACCTGTCTCGTATCCGTTTTGCAGGCTCTGACTTGGATAACCCGAGCCAGGACAGGGACTAGGCTGTGTGTTTGGGATGTGTGAGTTTGCCAAGGCTATCATAACAAAGCACCAGAAAGTGGGTGCCTTGCGTGGCAGAATCTTAATCTCTCAGCTCCGGAGGACACAAGCCTGAGCACAGGTATGGGTGGAGCTCTTTCTCTCAAGGGCTCTGAACACTCGCTTCAGGGCCTGGGGCTCTTTCTGGCAGCCTCAGGGATTCTCCCTCCTCTGCCTTCCTTTTCACAGTGTTTTTTCTCTGTGCATCCCTGTATCCAAATTTCCCTGTCAAAGGGAAAATTCATGCTGGATTAGGTCCCATTCATGTCAGCGTGACTGCATTGCAGTGTACAATATCTGCAGCAAACTTATCCCCGCCTATAACTATATTATGAAGTAGTGGGTGATGACTTCAGCACATAAATTTGGGGGGCAGGGGGGACACACAATTCATCTTATAACAGGGACCTCCACTCTGGCTAGAGATGACAGGCTACCCACTTGGCTGCCAGGCTCTGCTGGAGTGTAGAAGTTAGATGCAGGGCGAAGGCTTTGACTCTGCATTCCATGAAATCTACAGTGACCGGTAGTGACCCCGAGCCCTCTGAGAAGCAGCCCTAGTAGGGCCAACCACTGCTTGTCTACCCTGAGATATCTCTGTACCAGGATCTCAATGGGTGTTTCTACTGGATGAGGGCGTCCATTGGGACTGGCCTGCTGATTGTCCCTTTGCAGTGAGCTCAGTTGGTGCTGGTTGGGGCCACCTCCTCCCTTGGCGGAGGCCCAGTCAGTGACTCTTTCTTTAGTGTCTCCTTCCTTTGCCGTGCCTTCAATATGTGTCTGCACTTTAGGCGTCCAGTCCTGCTCCCTTAGAGGAAGGGTCTGGACTAAATTCAGGATTGGGGAAGCCCTGCTTACCTAAGAAGGGACGCTGACCAAGAGGAGCAGTAGCCAAGCAGCTCACACCAGCAAGTCCCATTGTTTT